GCGGAGGCCAAGGGGGCTGCCTCAGGGCAAATACAGGGCACAGGCAGCACCAGAGTCCTCCTGGGGCTCACCCTTCTTTCTGACTATTTCTTCGGAGGGACCAGGGCCGAACCCAGGGCCTCACGTGTGCTAGGCAAGGATTCTACTAGTGAACTATATTCCTGGCCCTTACATTTTTGTTTTGTTTTAAATTTTGAGTCGAGGTCTTGTGAAGTTGTCTGGACCTTGAATTTGTGACACTCCTGCCTCGGCTTCCTGAGTGGCTAGGATCACAAGCATCACAAGCCATTTCACCCAGCTTTTTTCTTTTTAATTGAGAAAAGAACTGCTCAGTTGTTTTCCTATTCACTAGCTATTATCTCACTCTGATAGCAGCTAAGGCTCTCTGTACCAAAGAAGGAAAAATTAAATTATTGTAGGGCGAAGTCGAATGACGTGGGAAGGTGTTCATGATTGCTGATGTACATGATGTACACGATCTGTTCACTGAGACACATTATGCACTGCCACTGCCCTTCGGTTTAAGAATGCGTGTGCATGCGTGTGCACCAATGTGGGTGGGTGCCTGAAGGAATAAGTGGAAACGCTAGCAGTTTGTCTCAGACACTGACTTTTGATTGATATATTGTATACTTTTAAACATATACTTAACTTATTATAACACGTACATATGCTTCTTTTTGTAAAAGAACATTTTCTTTTTATAATAAAAATAAAAAGTGGAGCCGGGGATTTAGCTCAGTGGTTCGGTGGCCTGCCTCGCAAGCGCAAGGACCCGAGTTCAATCCCCGGTACCAAAAAAAAAAAAACCAAAAATAAAAAGTGGAGCTTTAAAAAAGGCTGTAAAGAATAATTTTATCTTTTTTTAAAGTTTTATCCTGCAGTAAAAAAACTGTCTCCCTGAGATACCTATTTCATAGTTAGTTATTTCTTAACTTGGGTGAGCATTTCATTCACCATAATCTCCAGACACAGACCTCTTCAAAAATCTGCACAAACCCAAGCGCGAGTTCAATCCCCGGTAAAAAAAAAAAAAAAACCAAAAATAAAAAGTGGAGCTTTAAAAAAGGCTGTAAAGAATAATTTTATCTTTTTTTAAAGTTTTATCCTGCAGTAAAAAAACTGTCTCCCTGAGATACCTATTTCATAGTTAGTTATTTCTTAACTTGGGTGAGCATTTCATTCACCATAATCTCCAGACACAGACCTCTTCAAAAATCTGCATTTTCCCCAGTTGGCACAATCTTCGCTTGCCCAGAGCAAGCCCCGCCAGCGACTCCTGAGCCGCGTGTCTCCCGGCCGTGAGTGCCCTGGGGGGCTGTGTAAGGGCAGATGCTGTACGTTACTCTTCGCACAGAGCCCTCGAAGGCACCAGGTTGGAAGTGTCCTACAGAAACACAGACACTGCTAACCAACACCAGCTGCCAAGCAGAGGGGCCCAGCCGCCGGTCTCCGTGGAGACGCCCATGGGCCCGCCCCTTCTTCTTGGCTGGGTCTCCAGTCACGTTATTATGGCAGAAGACAGACAAAGAAGCGCGCCATGGATTCCATCTGTGCTGGCTTCAGCCATAACCACACGTACTGTTGTGTACTTCGGGGCTACAACATGAGAGTAGGAGCTCAGGGCAGGGTGAGACTCATCCGCTCGCACGGAAGGTTGAAAGGCCCCACATGTGCCACGTCACCGAGGACCGAGACGCTTCCCTGCGGGCTCTGACGCCCCAGGCTCCCGCCTCCTCCCCAAAGCCCTTCCACGCTCCATGTCACAGAGGCGCCACACTCCTTAGAGTACGAAGGGCGCCGCTCTCCGTCTCTTCGCGCGCACAGACATGGTCACATATTACACAGGAAACACAGTTGCTCTTAGGAGGAGGAGACACCCAGGGGCTGACAGGAGCTTAAGGAAAACCAGCCCTTCCGTTCTGCAGCCCACACACATCAGGAAGGTGCGGGAAATGGTTCACATGCATCTGCTCTGGTGGAAGGAGAAAGGGAACTGGGGACCTGAAAATGTCCCTCAGACCAGAACTCACAGATACCCTTTCCACCAAGATCCCCAGACTTCATTACGGGCTATGCAAATTTTACCAGTGCTCTCAAGTTCTTCTGATCATTTCCTTCAAATACGCTCTTTTGTGGAGCACATTTTAGCAAAGAACTACAGCTACTGGCCTACAGAGACTCAGGGTAAAAGGTTTAAGAAGAGTAAAACACTCCGAAAGTCCCCTGAAATGTCATCTCACTCCATTATCACACACACTCCGCTCCAGACACTGTCGTTCCCACTTTACAGACATGGTAATACCGTCTGTTCTCATAGAAGGCTACGATCGGGGACAACTAGAATGGAGAACCAGCGAGGACTCCACCAAGAGAGGAAGAGATGCCTGGGCCAGTTACCCGAGGGCGTGCACGCTCCGCCCAAGGCCCAGGGCATCACTCTTGCAGTGAGTCGGAGTCAGCGTCTTACCAGCTTCCTGTGGCTGCCGGGGAGGAGAAATCTGAATCCAGCCCAGGCAGAGATTCCCTAGCAGCACTCTGGTCTAAACCAAACCTGTCAGATGCTCCTGGCCTTCTACAGCTAAGAGAGCTGAAGCTTCAAGATCAAGGATCTTAACAGTTTCTGACTTAGCTGGAGGCAGAGGGACATGACAGCCAGGTACCAAATTCCCAACCCTACGCTCCTTCCGGTACACCAAGGGCGACTCTGTATCTTGGTGACAGAAATCACACCAGCAGCCGCCACCACGTGGGTCCCTACTCAGGCCAGAGACCACAGCGTTTTCTGTGAATGACCGCATTTAATGCTCAGAACTGCCAGGCACAGGTGAACAAGGAGACAGAGGCTGTACCAAGTTACCCTTTTCACCTGCCAGGTTTTGTGAAAACTCCTGACATTAAATATAAGCAGCTGACAGGCCTATGAACTGTTACAGTTTATTCCACATACTGTACTTGAGTGGCTTTAAAAAAATGAATTTCAACAGAAAGGTGACACAATCTGCTCTCTTCTGTGTCTTTGATGCTAATTCTTAAGTTTCTCAGAAGAGTTAAAAGCCTTAACTGAGATGGTTTAAATCTACTCTTGACATGCAAATATAAGATATGATTGATAACTATGGTGAATGTTAGACTGAAAAATAATTATTGCAGTAAAACACACTGCCACGAATCCCTCCAAAATACTCCCCTTCGCCATGAACACACTCATCTCACCGTTCCTGACACTTCCTTCCTGCAGCAGCTCTGGAGTGCTACTTCCTGAGGCCCCGAGGCCCTGAATTAATTCAAAATGTCTTCCTTCCATGTCATTTGACTTTGGGGAAGAGTCTGAAGTTGCACGGTGCCAGTCTGGTGACTGAGGTGGATGAGGACACAGCATCATGTTTTCTCAAGTTCTCTTCCATCGGATGGCACTGGGCAGCAGTGTGCGTTCCTCTGATGATACTCGGTAAGGACACATAGGAAAGAGGCCTCCAGAGCTGCTTCAGAAGTGGCAGGAACAACAGGGTGTGTTCAAGGGAAGGGGGGCATTCGGAGGGGGTGAATGGCAAGATGTCTTTTACTGTGATTGTGTTTAAAAGTTTAAACAATCAATGCATATTTGGATCACCCCCTGAATGCGTTAAAGAGGGAAAATACCCATTATCCAAGCATATACAGAAAGGGAATAGTTCTTTATATAATGGAAATGTAACCGCCCAGATTTGTCGTACTGAGGTGCCAAACAATAAGGAGGTGGCTGAGGCAGGGTCACATTTTCAGTCCCAGCCCCTGACTGCTCATCTGTTGACACTAAGGACACAATTCTTAAGAATCTAGATGAAAGTGGCAACTATGATAACTAATGTTGCTTAGCTAATAATGCTAACAAAAGTCCGGCAAGAATTAAGAGACACCTAGTGCCCTGGCCTGCTCTGTGTTTTGAGATGTAGATGTGTCTTGCAATTGCTAAAAAGAAGGGAGGGCAGAGGTAAGGGGAAAAATTGAGAACCAAGACCTTTCATGTAGAGGTACAAGATCCCAACAATGAATGTAACTGTACTGTATCCCTAAAATGTACCAATAAACTCAATTAAAGCTGAAAAAAAAAAAAAGAAAAACTTGCTAGATTTTTCAAGGTTAGTTGAACTTGACCTCATGCATGATGCCATCTTTGGTATTAATATCACCTTATTCCACTGATATAGCTGCTTTCTCAAAGCCATTTCTCCTGGGCATTTTGGAGAACTTAATATTCATCAGCCTCTCCAGATTGCCAGTTACAGTATTATTAGCAATAAGGCTAGAGGTAATCTGAGACCCCTTTACTTCAAAACGTCTGCAGTATTATTGCTGGCTGGGATGGAAAGAAATTCCATTTCTCCCTGTGCTCTTCTTTCGTCCAGCTCTGGTCATCTCCACTCAACCTCAAACACTTGTTTTGTTTTTTTCCCTACAAATCCTACCTTACCGGCCTCCTGCATTTATTAGTAGCAGCAATAAAGCCATTTCTTTCCACTCCAAGGAAATGTATGCTCTTGCTATGAAGAGAATCCAGGACAGAGAGCACTGGCATGGACTCATGGTGCACAACAGGAGCCGAGGAAGCAGAGGGCATACGCAAGTGTTTAATATGCTTTAGTGACAAATTGGTCATCTTTCCTGTAGGGATTCTAAATCATCATAAACTTAAAGTAGAACTTCTGCGAAATCTAGATGAAAGTGGCAACTATGATAACTAATGTTACTTAGTTAATAATGCTAACAAAAGTCCGGCAAGAATTAAGAGACACCTAATGCCCTGGCCTGCTCTGTTTTGAGATGTAGATGTAGATATTTTAAATTTGACTGGGGAGATCTTGTTTCTTTTTCCCTTTATGTAGGAAAGTCCTAGAGAGAAATTCATTTTAAAAACTTTCTATACCTTCAAACTTTTAATATAAAATATAAACAGCATATGCTGAGGTCTTCCCTAGAGACCTGCAGTGGCAGTAAAGAAAAGTTATTTCCTGTTTTACCTGGGAAGAGCCGTGATTTTCCCCCACTTTTCCACACAGAATCTTCTGGGGCCGTTGCTCCCTCGCAGAGAAGCGAAGCCTTCATAGGGAATGCTGGATGTGCCCGTAACAAACTGTCAACCCAGAGGAGAGGAGAAAGTGAGGGCAGAGGTACAAACCCTCCCCAGGCGGTAGTGCTCTGACGGACAGTGGAGAGCTGGTGACGTGAGGAAAGGGGCTCTGGGGGCTCACAGAAAACAGCGACCCCGTGCAGCAGGCCCGCTCCGCTGTGCAGCCAGGTACCTTCTCACGAGGTGGGTAGGGTCAGTGAAGCAAGGAGCCCAAGACCACTCAGCATCAGCCCTTCATCAACTTGGGACGAATTTTTTAAAAACTGAGTTTCTGGGCCTGCGAATCTGAAGTCCAGACCCTTCACACAAAGCAGCTGGGGCCCAGGCTACTGCCTGGGAGTCCGAGAGGCTCCTCATGTGACACTTCTGCAGCCAACTAGCAAGTGCCCTGCAGAAGCCGAACAGTGACCAAAGTATCAGTGTTCCTGAAGGTCACTGTGTTCCTACTTCACAGAAGTCAGATGATGCGGAGAAGGGCCTCAGGAGCCGGGGCCCTCAGAGGACCGAACAGCATCTCTTTCTGGCCACAAAGGTCCCTGGGCCTCACACCAAAGGGACCCGACTCTCCTGCGGACATAGGTTGGACTGGAGCCGACCCCGGGACCACTCAGGAAATGCCTCCACTGGGGCAGGGGTCCACGCAGTTCTGCGGCAAAGAACCGTGCGATCGGAAGAGGCCGGAAACGTGGTGTCCCCCACTTCCAGATAAACATGGTGTGCATTTATGGAGAACGATCAGAAATTATTAAAGCAGACACTTCCCACAACAGTATCGCGGCACGGAAAGGGTGCACATTGACACCTCACCTGTAACAACCGCAGTCGCTGTTCATTGTTGAACCTTTCCACGGCAGCCCAGAACCACCGGATTACGATATGATTGTCGTGGTACCCTAGCAAATCAATTGAGAAAGCCGCGTTACACTGACTCTGCACTGCTCATCCACAAGGGACATAATGAAAGACCCCTCAGACAGAAGGCATCATCTTGGATTCTCTAATGTCAGACTGAGGAACAGCAGTATAAGTAGGATCCTAGGGGTGTAAAAAGTTACATGAAAACAAAGTTGAACGAAACCAAGAGATCTCTGCTTTCATTTAGTGGTCACTGAAGGAAAACTAGCGGCAAGAAGAACAACAAACGACTGACGTTTTCATTTTGGAAAAACACAACAGCTGTTCCTGGAAAAGCTTCCCTGTTTTGGTCATTCATGTGAGAAGTAACTTTTGCTACCACTGTGCCAAGCACTGTGCTGAGCCTGGGGGAACCAAGTCAAAGAAATGGACCCTCAGTAGGCTACTGGTAAAGGAAGGACACATTAAACAAGTCGTTTACACAAAGAAAAACAGAACTGAAAGCTACACATAATATTCATATTTTAAAACCAAATTACTTTCATATTTTTATTAATAAAAAGGAAAAAGTGACCTTTAATTCCTTCAACCAAAAAATTCTAACCAATCATCAACCAAATTTTACTTTCATTCCATAGCTTAGCAGAATTTAATAAAACGTCAGAAGTATCATCTTGCAGGTGGGCCAAGGCTGTGGAATCTTAGGACCTTTTGGAGGCTGACGGATTTAGGTGCGATCAGTGACTCAGATGCATGCCTGGCCATAGTTTATATGCACAGAAGCTTTAAGGCCCAGTCGCCCGGAGAGAAACTGCTCTACTCTGGCTATCTCTTCACTGTTTCCGTAGCCGTAGGACCCCAGGTGTCTCCTTTACCTTGAGACCCGAGTGCCAGGTGAGCAAAGCTTGGCTGCTCAGGGGGACTCATGGCTGCTGCCCTGTCTCTGGTCCAGACTGAACCATCTGGAACTCATGGGCAGCGCTCGCTCTTGTCTAAGAATTAAGTGCGCCGGCTGGCGCTTTGGAGCATTCGTGCTACCGGACGTGAAGGATCGCCCTTGCTGCCTATGCGGAACCTCCCGGGAGGAGGAGGCCCGAGCGTCACCTCGAACTCTCCACCCACAACTGCTGATCAACACCAGTGAGCGGAGTGCAGTGCAGCTGCTCCGCCAGGCAGTGCCAACGAGGGGGCGGCCGAGGACGGTGCCCCTGCTCTGCTCGCTCCTGGGCGGCGGTAAGATGTGGTGAGGTTTACAGCTCCACTGGGTCGGCCTCGACCCGTCAGTGGGCGACACAGCTCTACACCACGCACGTGAATCCGCAGGGGCTGACTGGGTGTGCTGCGCTGCCTCCAGAATTTCCGCAGGAACAACAAGCAGTATCTATGGCAAAACCTAAGTTACGGAGCCTATCGAGAAATGACATGCAGGTTAGTGAAATCAGCCTGGTCACCGAAGTTATAAAAACCAAAGCTATATAAGGAGTAGACGCGGGGCCAAGTGGAGAACATTGTAGCAAAAGAGCTTCAGAAATAGCAGCAATTATGACTGCGATTTAATACAACTTATGAGAGAAATGCGGCAAGCAGGGCCAGCCGCACCCACGGGAGGCTGCAAAGCCCAGCCGGGCAAAGGCAAAGCTACGCAGGCGTTAGGCTGCTTTTTCAGCCAGACTCGTAAGCCCACTGTGGTCACTGCTGTTGAGCTATTTCAGGGCAGAGCTAATGGAGACCTGCGCTCTCAGTCTGCCCTGCTAAGTGGCTGTCCTCCATGCGGGCAGTGTATGTGTGGCTGTTCAAGTTCAGAACGACTGGTGACCTCTTCTATTCCGAGTTAAAAACAGAACCCAAACCAGAAGACAACTGGAACTTCTGCTGTGTTTCTGAAGACTTTCTAGTATGCAACAAATTCCCAGAAAGTGTATGCTCACTTAAAATTACTAGACAAAAGTAATCCTTGCTTCCCATTAGGTCCCAGATGAAACAATTAAACTTCAACACCTTTGCTCCTAGTTACTAAATGAAAATCTGTACTTATTCACAGATTTCCACCAAAACTGACTTGCGACAGCTTCCTTTTCACACTTGAGTTTAGCTAGGCTTTACCAATGTACTTGTCCAATCTCGAGGACTGTGTCTTTTCCCAGGCAGGTGTCAGCTATGAGCTGCAAAGGGTGAGTAGGTCAGTGGGCCAGAGGAAGCTCAGCCTGAGTTTCAGAATGAAGGCGGAGTGACAGACAGGTGGAGTCAGGCCTGGAGCTTCAGTGACAGCACCTAGAAGCGAGTGAGTGTCCCACGGACACACTGCCTCCCAGCCTCCCAGCAGTGAGGAGTTACGTGGGGTGCACAGCCCCACCCTCAAAGATGAGCAGCTGGGACAGCGGGGAGTCTTCCTCTCCCTGTGTCCTGGGGAGGGAGCACCAGACCTGTGAATAGGGTGTGTCTGTCTGTCTGTCCTGTGCCCATACCAGCATGCTGAGCTGCGCCTCCCGTAACTGGGACCTAAACCCCAGCCACCTCTGAGGCGAAGCTCACCTCCTCTGTATTCTGTGTTGCTTCTCCAGTCACTCAGGTCTATCTCCGCGGTGCCTGCGATGACCAGCTCCAGTTCTCTTGCATCAAACACAGAGACTAGCCTGGCATCCACTACCTGCAGGATGAAGAGAAGACAGGGCACGGAGGGAGCACCCCGAGAAATACAGGCAGTCACTAAGCTTCCTTGGGAGAGGAGGCACAGGGAGTCTGGGGGGTCACGGGGCACCCAGCTCAGTACCAAAACACCATGAAGTGCTCTGTAAACATGGGCAGGAGGCTCACAGCGGAATCTGCTCAGCGCATGGCTGTACCACCCGGGAGATGCTGGATTCCATCTGCCTCAAGCTCAGCAGGTTAGGCCTCGGATGGGGAAGTCTTGTTTTATATCTGACCATGGATGAAAGTACTCACTTTCTGCTTTCAAAAAAGATCTAACAATGTTACAGAAAAAGTCACATGGAACACACGTGACCACCGGCCTGGCCCTCAACTATTTCACAGACAGAGCATGAGACCTGAGTACTGTATCTAAGCCCAAGTCAGAGTCATGATTTCAACATTGGTGTCACGAAAGCATCAAATGCTCCTTGCAGTTGCGGCCTAGCATTCATCTCAGCGGATTCTTGTAACAAGGGCAGTAAACTTTTATGTGTGTGCTTTTGAAATATGGAGGAAAAGTTGGACTTTTGAAATTAAAAGAGTCATCAGGGTAGGAGATGGGACGCTCCACACAAGGGAAGTGCTGGAGGATGGACAGACGGTCCTGGCCACACCTGTGTGGGCTGGGCGTCCTCACCTCGTAGAAGCCGCGCACCAGGCTCTCGGTCTGCTGCACCACACCCCTCTCGATGCGCCACTTCACCATTCTCTCGATGTACTCCTTCTTGTTCTTCTCCGTCACCGGGATATTGGCACCCCCTGGCTTTAATTCTCGTTCAGTAATCTGAGATTAAAAATTAAGAGAACTAAACAGAAGGCAGCACCTCTGAGTTCTAGCACTGCCACCTGCCCCCACCCCACCCAGGGAGGGAGCTGAAGTCTGAGGACGGATGGCTCAGAACACAACGCGGACTGGTGAGGCCCCAAGCTTGTACATGTGGAGGAACTGGGCCCGCACACCCACGGCTGTCTGGATGTCCACAAATTCCTCTAAGACTCAGATCAACTACATCTGGAGAGTCAATATTGAAGGTCTATGTAAGCAAACACAACTACGACCTTATTTTTCAAAACATATGAAATGCAGAAAACAAGCCAAATGTTAGTGTTTTATAAGAGCTAGTATAACTGCCAAAACAACTTTTCCATCTACACTTCTACCAACTTTGAAATAAACCAATTTAAGTGGTGTTTTTAAGCCTTCTCCAAAATACTGTGTACATTTCCCCAGTCTCAAAACAGTCCATTTCGGTTCTGAAATCTGAATGAGCACTAAATACACACGCCAATCCAGTAACTTCACACTCAAGTCTAGGACAGCACGGACTGCTAAAGACCGCACTCTCTACGAGCACAGTAATACATTACACAGTAATACGAGCATAGTAATACACAAGGTATGTGTTATCATATCTTCTGTGGACATCTTGTTTGGATATGAGAGGAAGGCTGCTTACAACATTTGAAGCCTTATTATAATCTATAAAAGAGAACACCTTCAACTGCAGTTGGCGTCAGAATAATCCTTGAAACCAAAAATCTTATGATTGAGTGTGACCCTGTGTTTCAATCACCCCAAAAGCCAAACAGAAGCACCCGACATGAGCTATGGGTTCAGCTCCCACCAGCCCTGGCCTCCAGCAATCGCGGCCAGGAACACCCGGCGAGCGTCACACAGACCTGGCCAAACACTTCCTCGTTCACGGTGAACGTGAGGTCCAGGACGTCATGGATGTCATTGTCTTTCATCCACTGCAGGCTCTGGTGGAACTCCTCGTCCAGGTACTCGAGATCGCTCAGATCGCACAGACTGCGGTGACCAACAGAAATAGGGATGCTCGACGATTCGCCGTGGAGGAAGGGACCAAAATCAGTAAGAGTAAGACGTTTTAAGAGGCAGGGACTACTGAAATGTCCTCAGTCAAGCCTAGGAGCCAAAGCAGTGAAGTAATTCACAAGCCTGGCAGCGATTTTAACATCCCGGATACATAAACGGCCACGGGGACTGCTCAGTCTGTCCCCTTTCTGTACTCAGATGCAGAGCAGCTGCTAGGGACACCGTCACCCACAGCTGGTCCCAGATCTCCAGCTGGAGCTTGGGCTGATGACTGGAATTCCATATGCTTTTCTGGCTATGTTATTCCCCCTTAAATATTGTTCTCCCAATCTGAGATTCCTTATATTTCTATAATATGCTTTAAACTCTGTTTTCTCTTTTTTTATTATTATTTATTTATTTTTCTCTCATTGAGTTTATTGGTACATTTTAGGTATGCAGTACAGTTACATTCATCATTGGGATCTTGTACCTTTACATGACAGGTCTTGGTTCTCATTTTTTCCCCTTGTCCCTGCCCTCCCTTCACCCCCTCCTCCCCTCCTCATTTACAAACACTTTATTTCCATTTTCTCATTTTCTCATATTTTTTTCTTTTCCCTTATTCCCTTTCCCCTACCCTTCCCACTTTCCCTACATCTTTAGACCCTTTCTTCCTATTTCACATTGTCAATTATATCACTACGATCTTAAGTACCATTATAGTTTTTCACACCAGAGAAACTATTTGGTATTTACACATGTGTGACTTATTTATTTCACTTAGGAGTATATCCTCAAGATCTAAATACTAAAAAAGAAACACTAAGCTTGCTGGAAGATAAGTTAGGCAGAACTCTTGAAGACACTGGCATAGGAAAAGACTTTATGAACAAATCCTTAGTAGCACGGGAACTAGCAGAAAGAATCAACAACTGGGATCTCATCTTACTAAAAAGCTTCTGCACTGCAAAAGAAACCATCAACAGAACTAAAAGACAGCCTACAATGTGGGGAAACATTTTTTCCAGCTGCTCCTCAGACAAAGGGCTCTTATCTAGAATATATAAAGAAATCAAAACAATCATCCCCCGCAAATATAAAGACCCGATTCAAAAATGGTCATCTGAAATGAACAGACATTTCTAAGACAAAGAAGTAAAAGCAGCAAGTAAATATATGAAAAAATGTTCCACATCACTGGTCATTCGAGAGATGCAGATGAAAACAACACTGAGATTCCACCTCACCCCACAGGGAATGGCTGCTATTAAGAAATCAACCAATAACAAATGTTGGTGTGCTTGTGGGGAAAAAGGAACCCTTCTCCATTGTTGGTGGGAGTGCAGACTGGTGCAACCACTGTGGAAATCAATATGGAGATACCTCAAAGAGCTGGGACTAGAGGTTCCATTTGACCCAGCTATCCCTCTGCTGGGTACCTTTCCAAAAGAATTAAAAGAATCATATCACAGTGATGTATGCGTACCCATGTTTATAGCGGCACAATTTGTAATAGCTATAACTTCGAAACAGCCTATTTGCCCATCAGTAGGAGACTGGATAAAGAAGATGTGGTTTTTCTATAAAATGAAATACTACTCAGCTATAAAGAATGAGAAATTAGATTCATTCATAGGAAAATGTTTTCCCTTTTTTAAAAGATGAGGTTTTGTGGCTCATGTTCACAAACACCACCCTTTTTTTCACGGTTCTTATTCTACAGTTCTAAAGACAGTAAGGCGCAGGATCTCTTTCTACCCTCCCCTTGTTTTTTACTGTAGAGATAGGATCTCCATGAGGTGGTGCCCTGTTGCAAGGTGGTGTAACTAATTTGCTATAGCTGCTCTGCTATTTCCCTTCCCTCAGCTCAATTCCAAGGGTCGTTTTGTTTGGTTTGTTCTAAATATTTATTAGGCACCAGGCCTCTTCATGGTGACCTAATACACTGGACACAGCAGGGAAGGGATATAAGGCGGTAAAGAGAACACAGTGTAGATATGCTTACAACTCATATGCAATAAAGGTACAGAGAACTGTCAGAACAAACACACGGACCTCACTCTGACTTGGGGATTCAGGGAAAGTTTTGCATTGCCGAGGACGCTTAACACTAAATCCTTCAGGATATTTAAAAGATAGAGATATAAAAAAGGAACGAATGAGAAGGAAGTATAGGAGAAAGAATGGAGGGGAGAGAATAACCTGGACAGATGCAAGGGCCGAGGGCAGAATTCTCCAGCGGCAGGGGCAGCATTAAAGAGGCTGGAGTGGTCCCTGGGAGCAGTGGGGACGACAGGGTCAGATGCGAGAGCTGCCACACCGGCAGGTCCTCCAGAGTCACGCGAACCCGGTTACTTAAAATGGGGTAGAGACCAACCGACAGACACTTCAGTAATCCGGGCATAAACAACAGCAGGGCTGTGATGAGGAGGGGAGAGAAGACAAATCGAGAATGATCCTGGGAGCTAGTGAGAAATCAGTGGGTGGTTTACTGGGACAGGCTGTGGAGAGGGCTCCGAAAACAGGGGTGGCAAAAGAGCCCTGCGGGCCTCACGCGGAGAAGCGGTGCCGTTAGCCAACCACGCCCAGGATGGGGTCCGAGGCGGGAAGGACGATGGGTCCCACGCACCGGCCACCCCCGTGCAAGGGTCACCCCCAACTTCTGGTGAGAGAGGCTGGGAGCAAAGCACAGTAACGGAGGCGGACACACGGGTGGCATCACTGTAGATCCGGGAGAGATGAGCTTGGCCCTGGCCATGCGATCCCGAGGCGCCCGGGAGACACCCAAGAGGAGAGGGCCAGTGAGCACCAGAGGAGGCGAGGGCGTGGAGGTGGGCAGGTGAAGGGACCTCTCCACGTCCACCGCCACGTGGCAGGGCCCAGACCGGCAAGGGAGGCTGCAGGGTGTCGGAGCCGGGGAGAGGGAAAAATGGAAGAGGACCGCAAGGGCGTGGCGCCATCAGAGCCAGGGAGAAAGGGGGGGTAGGGCAGGATGCCAAGGGCTCTGCAACAGCCTCCAGCACCGCTGGGGTGAAGGAAGCCGGACCACGGCATGTGCAGCGTGTGCATCTGAGCTCGCTGTGAGCAGCTGTGAGACGCCCTCCGAGGATGCGCCATGGCAAGGCGGGCTCGGCTGTGACAATGGAACTCAGCAGGAACTACAGCTGTGAAGCCCCAAAAGGCAGGTGGCAGATGATTCCCCGGACTGCGGCCAAGAGAAGCAGCCTGCTTACTTCTGGGTGAGGTCGATGCTTCCATTTTGCAAAAAGTAGGTCGGGGCCACGGTGAGAGAAAGCAGGGGACAGACACAACCAGGCCAGGCCTCAGAGCTTTCTCCCCGCGGACAGCCACCTCTGCTCTGCCTGGCACAGGACTTTGGGACAGGCGTGTCTGCTCTGCATTCTACAGCAGTCACAATCTTTTATCATCATAGCAATAAAGAAAAATGCTGAATTTCCACCTGCCGTGACAGTGATATGTTACTACTTCCATGCAGGAGGAACTCAAGAACAGCATGGCACTGTGTGCCTCTAGCAAGCAGACCAAAAACAGAGCAAAAACAGAACAAAGGAGAAGGAAATCTGACCGAGAGTGAGCAGTGGGGGGTTTGGATGAGGCGAAGTATGAAATGCACCTCCTAGAACATAAGGGGCTGTGAGTCACCCCAACTAACCACAACTATTCCATTAATAATTGGCATTAATACCACAAGAATTCCAGGGCTGTGTTTGAAGCGCAATTGTTGTGAGGAAACATGTGTTGCAACAAATGAGCATTATTCAGAACAAAGCTAAGACTCCGGCAGGCAGGAATAAAAAGGATCAGGAACCTGAAACCGTATTTGAAATTGTATTATTTTCCAAATTCACAACCACTCTTCAGTTTAACAGCAACAGATTCGCAACACTGAACAGATAGCAACTCTGACAGAAGACTAAACGCTTCATAGTAAAAATTTGTTTTTGTTTTGTGGTCCTGGAGATTGAACCCAGGGCCTTCACAATGAGCTATATCCTCAACTTTTTTTTTTTAATTTTGAGACATGCTCTCCCTAAATCGCTAAATTGTCCAGTCTGGGCTTGAACTTGAATCCTCCTGCATCAGCCAAATACAGGTGTCACCATGCCCAGCGTAAACAATGCATGTTCACATGTTAAGTACAAGAGCAACAAAAATATTCTTACATTCTGAGAAGAGCCTTATAAAAGGGCCGTGTGAAGAAGGCATCCAACAAATACTGGTGTATTAGTGCGAGACCAAGGATCCTACCACTGAACCGGAACCTACGAAAGAAAAACACCAGAGAGCGCACATGTCAGAGCAGCTTCCGAACGGTTCTGTTTGCTTTCTAGAAAGGCTCCAGCTCTAAGCATCTGTTTGTCCAACAGTAACTGCTGACGAGTCTGTGCACGTTCGTGGGCACTGAAGGTTGTGCCTCATTAGCCAACGACCCACACCCGCTTGCTGAGAGCTGTCTGCTGATGGGATGCAGGTCCGCCCTCCACCTGTGTCCCTGTCACCCCTGGCACTCGCTGTGACGACACAGACCTGCGAGCATTTCGGTGACAGGTCCCCACCCCTTCACAGACACTGACAGGGAGGGCGTCGCCCTTCTAGTCTGCATGTGCTGCGAGTACTGGCTGGGCTTCTCTAGGACAAGCAGATCCCCTTTTGAGAAAAACCCCGTTTCAGACTGAGGAAGTTTCTGTCCCGGTTCTCACTCAAACCCAACATCACCAGGCAAGAATCGTGCATGTGGACACCGGGGGAGTTTCCTCATGGGGCATTCTATTCTCCAAAATGTCAAAGTCCAATTCTATTCTGAATCAACTCAGAGACTTTCTCTGAGGTCTGTTCTGACTGGATGTGCTGCCTCAGATGCGGATGCACTGGCTTTCTCTACAAAGAGGGCAAGTCTCTAGCTCTTTCAAGGTGGATGCCTTCCAGAAGTTTACACACTGGGACTCATACTGTCCGTTTGTAATTTTTGTGTCCAGCGCTTTGTTCCTCTCTGTTCCCACTTCTATCAGCACAAATGGAGGACTCCGAACTGCAGCTAACCGGAAGCTGGCTGGAAGGTCAAATCCTCAGAGCTCCTCCCTCCACCCGCCCATGTTGGCCTCGTGACCCAGGAAGTTTTCTAGAGGAGTCCTGGGCATGTTCTTTCCCTGCAGCAATCAGTGAAAATGAACAGGAACATGCTGATGGAGTTGTGTCCTCGATCACCAGTCTTCCGGGTCACCGACCCTGCCCCCGCAACGCCATCTCCTTCCCATCCCAGGGCCAACCACTTCTCCAAGGGCCACCAGAAAAGCCGCCAGAACCCCAGACCAGGCACTGTCCTCTTCCCTACCCAGCGCTCAGACACCTACAGGTGCATAGAGGGGTTTAGGGGTCTTTCCAGGAACCTAAAATCATCTATAGCTTGGGAGAAGTTTTTGACTTCTACTCAACTCAGTTAAAACTGATCTCCTGTAACATTCTCTATACATGGAGACAGTGTCTATAGCCTGGAGACTGCCTGTGTATTTCAACTAGACAACAAAAATTACAGTCAAATGAGGTGTTTAGTTAATGATTTTCTAATATTAAATGTGTGCTCCTATTAAAAACAAGCAAACAAATATCACAGAAAATCAACCGAAGACAAATGTTGGGGGGAATTCTTACCATTCATGGTGATTGTCTACAAAAGCAGACATGGGGCTTATCTGTACTGTGTATGTGTCGTTGGCTGAATATTCAAATAAGCCATAGTAAGGGTTAAAGAGCTCTCTGGATACCAGGAAGAAAAACTCTCTGGAAGGCCCACTGTAATCCAGCCTGTTAGAAAAACAAAACATAAAATAATACTCAGCTTTTATTTCTTTCCAAGGTATTAGGAATATTTTCTCCTGAGCCCATCTTTCTATAGAATGCTCATTACAAGAGAACTGTTTATACATCAGGGCTGCACAAGACAAACTGAATAAATTCCCAATTTTACGTGCCTTGTGCCAACACAGTGACCTGGACATTACCGTGCAGCGCATGCAGAGCTAAACTGTACATCAGAAAATGCACAAGATAGGCAAATAGCAATCTGAATGAACATACACAAAGATAAATCTTTTAAATATGGGAAGTGAGGTTATGGGGAAAGAGGGTTCCCACTGGAGGCCAGCCAGAATCTGCTGCATCCAGCTGCAGGATGCAGCGTCTCCTTTGGGTTTCTGGGGCCTTTCTGAAGGACAAAGGGATAAACTTCCATGCACTGGAGAGAGGAGACGATGGAGTCAAGGCCCCCACCCTGGAGATCAGAGCAAAATGCATAAGGACAGGATCCAAGTGAAAATTTTGCATTATGAAACACCACAGAAAATTACAGACTAGGAGGGTGAGGGTGCGGCCGGTTTTCTAAGGAAGGTACTTTGGGAAGAGGCTGGAGGCCTAGCTCCTGAACTGCACTGTAAATTATGAGGACTTCAGGGTCAAAGTGAAGCAGAAGTAAGGGAAGAGGGTGTTACGTCGGAGGAGTGACAAGCAGCCAACAACGCTGAGAGCACACACTGCAGTAAAGAGCAGTTTGCAACCAAGCAATCGGATGTGCTAAATTTAAAATGGAAACTATGAAGTGCATCTACCCTATGATAGGAGTATAGAGATTCAAAGATGGAAGCTGTGGGAAAGTGAAAGCAAATGTAAGTCGGAGTAAGGACTGTGAAAGTCTCTCTCTCCCTCTCCCCTCTCTCTGTTTATTCCATGGGCATTACTGTATTTGTAAATGAAAAAATCATCATATCTTCTGCAGTGATTCTGTGATGTTGAAAAGGATCCTACTATAGGCAGAAGAGAGCTGGGACCAGTAAGAAAAACAAAAATGGCCTTTATCTGCTTGCTTCCTTGAGAATGGAACTGAATTCACACAGTCCAGATGTCCACTGTGCACATAACACTTTGGGTCTGCCACACCCGAACACACACGCTGTTACGTACTTGGTGTCTTTCATCAGGCCAACTCCAGATTTGCTTCCTTTGTAACCTTGTCTTACACAATACCGATGGGAGTTTTAATGTGCCTGCTGTTTCTTCTACGACACACGCGGGGAAATGCACACGCGCTACCACCACAGTCCTCGTGGCGAAGGAAGCCGTGCACCCCACCGGCGCACTGGGGCTCAGGCCGCACTGCCAGGAAACCTGCACGTCAGGGAGCACTCAGCGCTCTGCGCCACCTGGCCTGCGTGGACACAGATTGCCGTCCAGTGCGGCCCAGCTCCTCCCACTGGGCTGGCCTCCCACCTGTGCATGCCTCGCATACTCGGAACCCTTCTTCCAACAGCACCCACCTGAGCGCCAGTGCCGTATCGGGCACCTTCTCTAGATCTTCAAGACAGGACAACTGTGGGCAGCCAGCTTACAGAGGAACCCTGGCTGTGGCCCTGACCCAGCCTGGGCTCTCTGCTGCTGTCCAGCTGTGGCAGGCAGGGCAGGGACCCGGGCCCCTGGGCATCTCAGGCCAGGCCAGCCCAGCCCCAGCCACCTGACCTCCTCGGCAGAGAGCACAGGGTGAAACTCGGGTCCTGCACACTGCTCTCCCCGCGCAAGTCAGGGAGCCGACTCACTCCGGGGCTTGAGCTCCGGCCTCAGACCCTCGCCCTGTGCTGCTCGCAGGCAGGGCTCCTCACAGCTCTTCGGTAAGGGACCAGCCAAGCCCAGGCCCGTGCACGCCCTACCACATCACTCGGTCTTGTGGCCCTCAGCTGTCAGTCTGGCCGGCCCCTGTGCTGTACATGAAGCCCGAGCTGTACGACACCACTCAGGGAGACGACTGAGTCCGACCTGAGGTTGCTGCCTGTGGCTCTGCCCAACCAGTCCCTCGGTAAACTCTAAAAGTTTGTCAGGACTAAAACTATACTGTTCACATGGCACAGTTGGCAAACTGCGACCTGCAGGCCAACACGCCCCGCCCCTGCTTGGTAAACAGGGTTTTACTGGGCACAGCTGTCCCCTGCCATGTGCTGTCACTGCCTGTCTTCCCGCCATGGTGGCAGAGGTGGAAGGGGCCTCAGAGAACGCGAGGAGGGCAGAGCCCAAAACAGGGACAGGAGATGCTGGATGGGGCAACAGGAGGGAGGGGAGCAAAGGCAGAGGGAGGAGGAGGGATGTGTGTGGCCATACCGCACGATGAACATACTGAATGTGGACTGCAAACACATGCTAACAGAGACTGACAGAAGAAGGAGGGGAAACGCTACTTTATGATTTTTTTTGTTTTGGTACCAGGGACTGACTCGGGCCCTTGCAAGGCAGGTGCCTAAACCACTGAGCTAAATCTCCAGCCCAATGCACTTCTTTTTTTTTTTTTTTTTTTTTTGGTTTTTAGAGACAGGGTCTCGCTATGTAGTTGAGAGTAACCTAGAACTCACTATGTAGCCCAGGCTGGTCTTGAACTCACAGAGATCCTCCTGCCTCAGCCTCCCCAGTACTGGGATGACAGGCGTGTGCCACCACACCCAGCAAAATTAATTTTTTAGTGGGAGCTACCAGGGATTGAACTCAGGATCTTGCACTTGTGAGGCAGGTGTGATACCACTGAACTACATCCTCAATGCACTTGATGTAACAATCCGGCTCACTGTAAAGCCTCTCCCTTAGTGACGTGCCCTGCAGTCTTCTGTGTCCCTTTGGGGCTGGGCTCGCAGGCACACTGAAGGCCTCCACACTGCAGGGACACAGGCCACTGAAAGAGCAGCTGTTTCCTCACAGACAATGTAAGCTAAATATGCTTGACCGACTTGGGTTGAAAAAGCCAGGCTTTCTTTGAGTTTGAGCTCTGAGGGTTTGAATCTCACGGCACTGAGCAGAGAACATCACCAGAACCCTCTTCTGTGCCTGCCTCCAATCCTGAGGCCCCATCCAGGAGCGGGGCTCCCTGCTGCTCCAGAGGAAACCAGCCTTGTACACGAGACTACTCAGCATCTAGCAGAGTGAACAAACTGGATGAGTTCGCTGTGAGGCCACACAGCGGCTCGGGGACAGGCAACAGCTCCACATGGAAACACCATCAGAAATAGCACAGGAGAAGTTCGCTGGGCAACACATGGTACACTTCATTAAAACACAAAGACCTCCCACAGCAGTTCTTTTTCCAGGAAAATGGATGAGTATGGCTCATGATAAGACAAATTTTCTCCGAGGAGTTAAAATCAAAGTACCCTCCCCCCAGAGAGAACAAAGCCAACGGCTCCTCCAGGAGGAAGTGGATCTTAAACTGGCCAGGACTGCATCTGCCGTTTTAACTCTAGACGTGTGGAAGGAGCCACCCTAACACTGAGGCCATCTTCAGACCGTGATCTGACAATGAGGACCGCCTATGGGAGCGCGGGTGTGCAATATGATCACGGTTCCAATGTCTGCATCCTGAGTCTAGCAGATTTAATAAAACACGTCACAGCAGAGCACTCCTAGCATGTGGCTCCTGCGATGTCTTACAACCTCCTCCATATAAATAGTTAATATGACTCACACCACACGGATTGTTTGTTTCATTCCTGCTTTGCCAGTTTGGTTGGTTCCACATCTAAAGGCTTGGCACGGACATGCAGAAACTCTGGACAGCGGGTGCAGCCACAGGACAGCTGCGTGGAGGGCGGTTCTGAGGATGCGTAGACAGCTGGGGACTCCAAGTGTGGACACAGCATCGTACACAGCAGCACACTGCTAGGCTGGCACCTGCCCCTCCCTGTGTTGTCAGCAGCAATGAGTATTTGTTAAGAATTTTTACTGTCTCTCCTGTTCCTCATTTATGGCTAAGAATGGCTGAAAACAAAGGACCCAATGGAAGCAGACCCTACAGTGTAGGAAGACTACAGTGGCAGGAAGGCACACCCTCATTTCCTGCGCCTGGCTCAGGCCCACGCACCCTCCATACCTTCGGGCTCTCCCGCAGGTGTTAACAGCAGCAAGGCATTCTCCCCAGCCACTCAGGGAGGCCTGGCCGTGAGTAAGGGATTCTGATGTGATAAGCAAAGCGGCTCTTGGTGCTCCCAGCCCCAAGCCTAAACAGAAGCACTCGTGTTTAGCAAAGCATGGGTTATGAGGCCAGCCTCCGAAGGTCTCTTTTTGTTAGGAAACAAGAAGCACCCTAAGTTTAACTGGGAGCTTTGCATATTTCTGAGAAGTCCATGGTCAAGCTCAGGACCCCACCGACTTCTAGAGGGGCTGTCCACAGTCACCCGTGAGGACAGCGGGTCTGTCAGCAGCCAGGAAGCAGTAAACTGCTCCAGGTCTCAGCCCCGGTTGTTTTCACTTGCCCTTCTCAGAAGAGAGCTGCATGAGGAGCTGGCAGGAAGATGACAGGGAAGTCTCAGCCCCACCCCACACAGCCTGCACACATCTCCTCGATAGTCTACCTGGGGCTCATTACAGGTGACTGATGTCATATTGATGGGACCTTTTGCAGAATGAGCTCTTTCTTCCCTCAATAAAGATAGCTTTTACAGGGGGTCCAGGGAGAGAAGAGGCAGAACCAGCGTAAACATCCTCCCTTTAGCTAGGCCATGATTTCTCTACGGTTCTGAGTCTAAGAAGTTAATGACCCTGGAGGCCTACCTAGCTAACTGGACATCACACAGCTTTCATAGCTAGGACTCTTAATTAACAAAAATAACAACATAGGAGAATACATAGTATGTATTTTATTGCTCCCTGCCTTAGAGAAGCAACTTCCAAGCAGACTGAAGCCCACCAGAAAAGGCTAGCCTTTTGTGCAGTTTCTCAAAACATTCACTCTCCATGACTCAGTTTCCAGTCACTTTATCGACTGCTCCCCACCAAAGCAAGATAAAAAAATATACTTGGGTGGAAATTTTAATGACTTAACAACTAGAACAAAACTCCCAGCTCTAACCAAATTAAACCACTGATCACAAGATAGGGTGTAAAAACCATCTACTCTGTGTCATGCCAAGCGTAACACAAAATATGATTTCAGTGAGAAATAACAGCTGTCAAAGAGGACTACACACTTACATTCAAGACTCCCGGATAAGTTTCATGTTTTTGTAATTGAAAATAGGCAAGTCCAATAACAATCTGCAGCCATCCTGTAAATTTCTGACTAAAAATTCCCAATTCTTTTTTTATTTCAAGAACATTCTATGCATCACAATTTAATTATGCAAAGAAATAGCTTAAGCAGATTTGAAGTTTTGGAGGGCAAATAAATGCATCATTTGTCCAAATAAATCCCCCTTTCCTTATGCTTCAGCTAATTTACTGTAAAGGAAGTCCTACAGTGTGACGACAGAACACCTGTCACTGAGAGGATGTCAATACAAATTACAAAGCATTAATCCCTCATAGATAATGTAAAGCTGGTAGTCTTTTTTTTTTTTTGGTACCAGGGATTGAACTTGGGTCCTTACACTTGTGAGGCAGGCAGCGAATCTCTAGCCCCATGAGATAATATTCCTCTCACATCAATATCCCCAGTGGTTTGTACTTCCCACAGAATTAACTCTCCTCACCTCGAGCAATGACAGAGGTTTATACATAACCAAAAGTTATCCTTGAGTTGTCCCTGGGCAGTAAGAAACATCTCTCCAGGAAACACTCTTTAAATCTCCCTATTTGAACATATATTTTCTTTCAATAAACTTTATTTTAGGATAGTTTCAATTTACAAAAAAGCTGCAAAGATAGTATAGAGAGTTCTTGTACACCCTAGACTCAGCTTTCTTCTTAACATCTCACATTAGATCTTTTGTTATCATTTAAAACCTGGGATAAAGCCTCTAGCTTCCCGTTTAGAGACACGCACTGACTTTAGAAGTCAGGGAGCTGAGCGGTATACTCCCAGTGGCTTTGCTGTAGGTAACACCTCTGAGGTAGGCAGGCACAGTCACCCAAGTTGTTTTTCAGGAATCTGGAGGCCACTTTTGTCCATCTCAAACTGACACTTCCCTGGGACCTGTGCAGGTATCCCATGGCTGACCCGGTGACCTCAGAGAGCCAAGATCCACCCTCAGATGGCGCTGAAGCCGCCATTTTCTGAGCATGGGCCTCTGAAGAGCCATGAAGTTGGACTGAACACTTGCAGACAGACTGCTAACTTGACCTTTCCCTGCCTGTGATTTCCTCTCCCCTTATTTCAGATCACCTTGTTCTTGACCACACAAATACCCCTAAACCCTATTCTCATGGAGGTGGATTTGAGACTCTGGGCTCCAGCTTCCTCGTGTTTAGTCCTCTCATGGCTAAACTTTAGTAAAACTTATCCCTTCAATGATTGCCATACTGCACAGTGGGAAAAAGTGGTACCATAATTAATGAACCAATACTGATCCATTAGTATAATGAAAGCAGTAATACTTACCCAGCTTTCCTTAACTTTCACCTAGTACCCCTTTTCTGTTCCACAGTCCCACCCAGGATATTACACATAATTATCATGGCTCTTCTTGACTGTCAGTTCCCAGAGGCCTCTGGTTTTGATGACCTTGACAGATTTAGAGTACTGGTGAGGTATCTCCCACAATGCCCAGCTGGGACTTATCTGATGTTTCCTTCATGGCCGGACTGAGGCGATGCGGTCTGGGGAGAAGACCACGGAGGTAAGTGATGTTTTCATCTGTAAGGTGAAGGGCATATTCTATCAAGATGACTACTGATGCTAACCCTGATCGCCTGACTGAGGCAGCACTTGCTAGCTTTCTCTACTGTAAACTTCCCTGTTTCCTCCCTTTTCTATACTTTACTATTTGGAAGAAAGTCACTATGCACAACCCACACTTAAGAAGTAGGAAGTTAAACTGAGTGTTTTGGGAACTATTCTGCACAGTGGACTTAAAATACTTTTCCATTTATTTATGTATTCATTCATGCATTTAATTAGCATAGATATGTACTTCACACTTTGGGTTAAAATCCAACACCACTTTATTTGTTTTGCTTCTCAGATGATCCTGGCTTGGTCACTGGGTGCTTCCAGGTGGCTACTGTGACTTCTGACAGCCTCCATCACTGTGGGCTTCCTGAGAGCCTCTGTACTTTCTGGCAGGTGCTATGATGTGTTTTGGGCTGTGTTCTATTTATTCCCTGCCCTGGCCCTAAAAGTAGCCATCTGTCCATCCCTGGCGCTTTTCATTCATTAGAAATCAAGTTTTGAGCACTGGACACCTATGTACTTAAATACCTACTACTAGACCAAGACATGAAGAATTCATTAAATGACACATTTTGTGGGCATGAAAGTTGGGGAAGGGAACATAACAGAAAACTTCCATTTTTATAGTTCAATAAAAAGATCTGGGTATAATCCAGAAAGAAATATTATGATTGTGTCACATGATAGAGTCAATGTGCTTGAAAGGGTGGAAAGGCTTCGAAATCTTAATTTTATGTAGTTATAAGGTTCCTACTTTTCAGCAACAGTACTGTTGTGATCTTTCTAGGCAGTCAATGTATTCTCAGTGCCTCAACATCAATATAATGTCACTATCTAATAATCTGCATATATCGTGCTGCAATGACTAATCCACGTCCAGAAATCCAGCCTCAATAAACCACTCAGAGGGAACAGAGGAAGATAACCAAGGCCACACCTAAACATCCTCTCCCTGGTTTTCCCTGAGGGCCACAGGCAGTGCGTGGGGGGGCGGAAGTTCTGAATATCAGAGGGAATCAAACTCCGAGGAACCAGTTCTACCTAGCCCCAGCCCTTCCTGGGAACGGATCTCCTCAGTCCAGACCTTGGGAGTCCGCAATGGGATGATCAGGCCTCCTAAGCATGTGCTCCATGCAGAACGTTAAGGATTGTGCTCAGAGACTCTTCCCCCTGCCTCTGAGCTCTCAGCAAATTGGGCTGGGCCTGGTCACGCATATCTGTGGTTTCGGTTCCTGAGGAGACCGAGGCAGGAGGATCACTTGAGCCCAGGAGTTCAAGGCCAGCCAGGGCAACATAACATGACTGTTTCAAGAAAACAATGTACAAGAAACCAAAAAACACCCCAAGGTCCAACAATGAAGGAGGCAGCTGGAGTCCTGGAGGAGGGAAACATCCTCATCACACCAGACTGGTTCTGCAAGGAAATACCGGGAGTCCCGGGCACACCTGCGTGAGGCGGACAACATCTGCCTTGATTTCCCACAGTGCACCTGCCCCTTCAAGCCACTCCCAGCCACAAGTCCATTTATGCACATGGGCAGCAAAAGGCTCAGTTAGGCAGGCTTCTGCCAAAACTCTGTCACCTCGTGTAATATTTTACTCTATTCATGGCTGGGAGACAATTATCAGTCACTTGCTGGGATGGTCAGATGGTCCAGCGGGACAAGAAAAACTCCAGAGAGACCATAGCTCCGGACTTGGGCTTCGTTCTCACGGCTGGCCCAGGAGTCCTAGTTGAAAAGACAACAGGCCTGGGGTTGGGTCTGATTTTGCTCTTCCCAGTTCATACTTTGAAGTCTAAAAGCCATAGCCATATACTGAATGGTTGGTTCTGTTGGCTGGATGTTAGGACTAAGATTCTATAATCTTCTTATTCCTGGACACAAGCGGCCCTCAAATGATCCTAAGCAACAAAATCAGAGAGCACACCCAGAATTCAGATGACTCAGAGGGCATTTTTTAACTTCTGTGTCTTAGCAGCAGGTTATGAAGAAGGTACTGAGATGGGCACCAGAGAGGGTGGTGGCCAGAACAGACGGGAGCTATCAGTGTGAGGGGACCTATACCAGCCTCACTGTCTACCTGGGCACAACAGACTGTGTGGGAGTTGGTGCCCCTTCGTTTCTTAACCCTTCCCAGAGATGCACACCCGGGAGAGTCAGGAAGGGCAGCCATGCTGGTTGCTGGTAGGAAGCTGTTGGTAGCTGTCCACTTGGCACCTGTGCTGCCTTCCAAGGCAAGAGAAGCACTAGGGGGAGAAATAAAGGCCAGCGCCCAGAGCCACTGCTGTGGGAGTTTCCTGGTAGAACAACAGCAGAAGCCTAAGTCATTTCTGAGATGGGACTTCTAGAACAGGTGACCTGTGTTCTACTCAATGCTCGGACAGCAAGGAGACCACAGATGTTTGAATGCAACGCCTTGATTTTGACCCTTGAAGCCCCACTTTCTTTTTCCTTTAAGAGAAATTTGGAGAGAAGAAATCAAATGAGACTTCTGCCCTCCAAAAACGATCTATAGGTATGAGTTTTAACCCAATTCTCTATGTCAAATGATTTAAAAACCAGAGGAAGCCTTACCAAGAAAAAAAAAAAAAGCCAACACGTTGAAGCTTATGAGAACAGCACTTCCTGCCAGAAGGGTTTCCTGTTTCAGGCAACCGCAGTGCTGTGAAGAAACATCCGCCCATGGCCGCAGCCTTGGTCCCTAGCCACTTCTCTGTTCTACTCACCCTTCCTCTCCAACGAAGGTGACATACAGCTTGTTCCTCTGCAGGTCTTTTCTGGAGTAGCCCATAATCTGATTAAAAGCATCTTCTAGCAAATGATCTCTTCGGATAATTAATCTGTCCATACAGAGATAATTTGAAAAACAGATTATTTCCTGATCCTTGTCTCTCTAGAACACGGCACCTGCCATTTAATGTCTATTTACAGCAATTAACTAGGTGAGAAGTGAAGTTACCTAACACCGTAGCTGTCTGCAGTGAAGCACACATTGGTCTTCAACTTTCAACAGCATTAGCCAGTTACGTAAGCGTCTCGGGTAAACAGAGCACCCCACCCGAGAAACACCAAGTGCTTTCCAAGTGGCCAAATCAATTATCCGAGAAGGCAAAACCATAACACACATGCACACACACACACTCACACACACCCCACAACTTCTGTTTACTGAAGGGAAAACAGCCCTATGACATAATGCTTTAATCCTGACTGCACCTAGACAAGGATTTCAATTACTAAGTACCCAGGAGACTGAGAACCAGGAGGGAGGGCAAGAAGAAAAACGTATTCTCAAAGCAAAAAATAAGACAAACAAACAAAACCCTGCAGAGTTGTGCTTAACTTAATTTTAAGTTAAGTGCATCTTGAAATTCTCTAAAAGACAGGTAAAAATGAACAATGCTTCTGGCCAAATAATCGACAAGTGACAACAACTTAAGTTTCCCTTTTATGGACACCAGGGCGCCCCTTGCAGGCAGTGGACGGGACAGGAGGAGGGGCTGAAGCCAGGCTCACAGTGGCTTTCTGGGGGTGACTCTCCCTCCTTGGTCAGGTGGCATAATGAGCTCTGGTGGGGGTGTGGCTGGGACCCGAGGAGAGGAAGTAGGAAATGCGAACAAATCCTTTTTTCTGGTAGTGGGGAATGAACTCAGGACGCTGTGCTTGCAAGGCAGGTATGGCACCACAGAGCTAAATCCCCAGCCTGATCACTACTCCTTTATATCTAAGCAATGTCCCATAAGCCAAGACATAAACCTCTGCAGGACAAGGAAAGAAATCAGCTTTTGTTCTGCCTCTATTTTCACATGGAATCACTGCTTGGTTTAAAACCTTAAGCTTAAATGAGATTAATTCCAGAACTGTGTTTCACATGATCTGGTCACTTATAAATGCCTGGAGAATCACACCTACTAAAATGCTTGTGGTCCCAAATCACACTCAGTTTCCTAAATGCCCAGCTTCACCATCACAAATTACATGGTTCATATCATGTTTGACTTACTTTAATTTCCCCGGGCCTTGTCCGTATCCTTTAGTCTCTAACTTCCTGTAAAAGTTCCTTAGTTTGGCTTCAAAGTCTCGCTTGTAAGGGGCCGGAGCCCGGGCATTGGCACGCTGAGTACCTGTAGCAGACAGCGACACAGGACAGCCTGGGTGGGTGATGGCCCTGCGATCATCCCACCACCGTGGTTAACAAGAAAACCAGACTTTCAATACTCAGGCTCCTCATCAACCCCTCTGCCAGTGGGCAGACACAGGCAAGCTTAGCCGGGGTCTTAAGAGAAGTCATCTTTGTTGCTTTTTGGCTGAAAATAAAGATCTTGTCTGAATGGTTACGAGGACACCTGAGTTTCTGGAATACGTCCCCTTTTCAGTCCCAACACGCCTGAGTCGAGCAGAGTTCCGCGTGTGTAATGGTAGCTGTTAGCATGAACTGTCTCTGCCTGTGCTGAAACGAGATCATGACAGTTAGGCAGAAGTAACAGAGTGAAAGTACTGGTACAGAGACAGGTACAGTGAGTTCGCATCATTTGCCCCAAATTCCTCACCCAAAAGCCTCACACACACTTCTTTTGGATATGCATTGTAACTAAGAATTATTTCAGACACACAATTATGTATACTTCCAACTCTGTCAAATAATCATAATATAAAAAGCTGAATTCAAACATAACTGCAGAAGGAACATCACCTGCTTATGTAAAGAATAACACTAGTATTTATCACATTCGCAATGCACCAGTTACAGATTATCTGAAGATATTTATGTCGCTCCACAGCCCAGTGCTATTAATAAAATGTCAAAGTGACACAATTTCTTCCTCTTTCCACAGAAAAATCTGGCTTTGTGTCACAACGTGGCCAAGCAGCAAGCTGGGATATTAAACTGATGGTGAATATGGAACGGAACCCAGAGGCATAACAAAAATCCTAGAGGCTTCCACTAAATATTTCCCAATGGAATGAGAACAATGACAAAACACAGCCTGTGTGCTCTTGCCCATCGCACACCATGCAGTTCATGAACAGGTTATTTCACAAATGAACTGGATCAGGGTTATTATTCAGGGCTGCTACTGTGCTAGGTTCAACAACAGATACTCAAAATGAACCAGGTGGAGCTGCTGACAAGGGCATTTTGGCTGGGGAGACAGAAATAAAGCATAGTACACAAGTGGAGAGGAACTAAATCCTAAACACGATGATATCAAACCCTAAAGCAGGGAAGATGAAGTACATCTCTGGGGCTATACCCCGTCCTGGAGATCTTATTTTGTCTGTCCTACATGTTCTAAAAAAAATTAAAGTCACTCCCAGCATTTAACAATTATACAATATTTCAAGTATTTATGTTTTTCTCTTGCAAATTATCCAAAATCTCAAACTGGCTTGTGTCCGCTGGGGAGATGGGCAGCCGGGCTGACCCCGGGATCCCCAGGTATCTGCACTGAACACCGGTGACACAGAGAAGTCACTGTGATGCCAGAAAGGAGGAGCAAGAGTCAGACACAGCACAAGGCAGGGAAGCCTAGGACAGAGGCTTCCAGGGAGCTGACTGTGCAAGCGGACAGGATCCTGTGCATGGGGCAGGCAGGGCTGCAGGCAGGGACGAGCACACCTTGTGCCTCAGAGAGGCTCGAGACCCTACTCTCCTGGGGGTCAGTGGGAAGCTAAACGGCCCAGAAGGGCCGGAGCAGGAGGGCAGTTCCTGAGCGCCACAGCGGCACACAAGGGGCTTTTATTGGAGAAATCATTTGCCAAATGCATCAGGCAGATTGAGAGTAGGAAGAGGGGCAGAGGTGGGAGGGTGGAGGCGCAGCAAGGAGCTGCTGTGACAGAGGAGCCGGCCCAGCCGGGAACGTGGAGACCCAGAGGCCCACACACAGCGGGACACACCGAGGGGCACAGAGACAAGTGTGGAGGGGAACAGGAGCTCTGAGGGTACTGTGGTTCAGGAGCCATACCAGGCGCTGTTGTTTGCTACGTGCTTGCTATACAGGAGGGATGCTGCACCGTACACTGGGGATCTGGAGAAATCCTCGTAAGTCTAGAAGAGGCTGTTACCATCGCCATCACCATCACCACCACCACCATCACTGTCACCATCACCGCCATTATCACATCACCGTCACCAACAGCATCGCCATCACCATCGCCACCACCACCATCTCTCCACAGCCAAGAGGAGAGGCCGTCTCCTGTCCGTGTCATTTGGCAGTGACAGGAGGTTCGGGAGCTGAGGGTCTGAGGCGAAGGCGCCGTGGGAAGCGGGGCCGGCACACGGGGCAGAGGGGCTGTGGGCCTTCTGAGCTGGGGACCACAGCACATTTATGTCCGTGGCATAAAAAGCCCTGCACAGTTACACATGCTACTGCTGCCTGCAGAGAGGTGGACGTGAAACACCCAGGGAACCGCGCTGGGGTTTTAGGAGTGGATCTGTACATGACTGGCTCTGCCTGACCAATGATATGTCCAGAGGTCTGTTTGTAGTTACAATTCTGCGTATGTGCAGGGGAGCAGGTACTAGAATCAAACCCAGGGCCTCTGTGCTGAGCTTCAGTCAAGCCTCCTTTTTAAAAATTTTGAGACAGGGTGTCACTAAGTGGCTAAGTTGCCCAGGCTGAGCTGGAATAAGCTCCTCCCACCTCAGCCTCCCTGAGAGCTGGATTCCAGCCATACACCACGCTTTTAACCAAGTCCTTTAACCAAAGGGCCGAGAGTTTCAGCATAAAGAAAACCAGTAAACTCAGCCTATCACGTCTGACAACATAAGAGGCTCCTAGCCTGCGTACTGGAGTCGCGCAGGAAGTCACTCTCAACCGAATCCAGGCGGCCCCCAGGCAGAAGCGCTCCCTACTGCTTTCAGGGGATCCCAGTGAGAACCCCCGGCTGAGAACTACTATTTCTTCCCAGGAAGGAAGATCAAATGGAACCAATAAAACGTGCTGGCAGCGTCCGTCTGGGGCCCATACAGGGGAGTGCTTCCTGCCTACTGGAAAGACAATGCTTGCACAAGGCTGTGAACTCCAAGAGCCCCAGGCTGCTGTGCTCCTGGACCTGGGCAGTGTGGCCTCCAGAGTGGCGCAGTGAAGCTATCCTGCTCCGGCCAGGGAAACTGCAGACCGTGGCCCAACGGCCCAGAGCGCAGCCAGGGTCAGCTTCCAAGGGCACAGTTGCTGATGGAGACGATGAAAGGAAAGAAGGGGTACAATGAAAATCCCGAGACCTAGCGGGGGCACGGCCCTAACACCTGGGGGCTGGAAGGAGCAGCACGGGGTAGGGCAGCCTGAATGAAGACATCGGAGAGGGTGCAGGAAACACCACAGCGCATCCCATCCCTGCGCACAAGAAAACAAGCCCGCCTCCGTCCCACGCTCCACGAAGGGCGTTAGCGTGGAGGCCCTGCAGACACAGGGACCCATGCGCGAGGCCTTTGGTACTGACTCTGCTGTGACAAACCCTTCACGCGCGTCAGCACTGAGCAGTCACAGCCCCTGCCCAACGCTCCCCATCTTCACTTCTTCATAGTGCAGGTCTGCAGCTCGGAGTGCTTCCATAACACACCCTAACGCCGGTCCTCACCCGGTCTCCCTCCCCGTCTACCTCCGTCTCTTGATGCCCTTTCCCACTGGGAAAGACCTGTCTCCCTACGTCCTACTATCTATTTTGTTATTCTGTTCTTTATTTTTACTGTGGGTGTCTCATATTAGAGAAACCACGCAACATTTAATCTCGTGCACTTTTTTCACTTAACATCACGGTCTCGGGGTGCACCCACGTTCCTACGGATGCCTCGGTTCACTACGACAGCAGGGCCCCACTGCACGTATGTACCACATTTTCTTTATCCCTCGATAGGCTGCTTCATCCCTCATTTAGTTCTTAAGAATTGTGCTGCTACAAACATGCAAGACAGAATGGGGTGAGGTCAGACGTGCAGCCGAGATGCGAAGACTCTGGGTGGAGTGGAGAGCGAGGCACAAAGCAGATCCGTCCAGGAATCGCACACCCCGCTGCCAGCAGGGCTCTGTCAGGAGGATCTTCCCACCGGACCACATGACCTCCGCCCCTCTGGCGTCTCCTCCCTTCTCTGGCTGGAGTGGGGCCTGGCGCTGACCTCAGCTTACAGCGGGCCCAGCTCTAGTTATGTACGGCAGCCCTGCACCTACTCCATCAGCACGATGATTTCCCCCAGCCACAAAACATCCTCACTGCTGTGTACACAAGGAGAAACATGACGTATCTGCAGAGTTTCAGCCCATAGTGGGTTAAACAAATTCTTACGGAGTTAAAGTCACAGCTTTGGTCACCTGGAGAATTCACAGTGGACCACACATACCCAAAAGTATTAGACAAATTAGGCGTTGCTGAATTTAAATTCCTGGACACATGCAGCTTCAATAAACATCTAGGTCCACTCCTTAACACAATGAACCATGCGGCGTAACTGAGGCTGGGACTGGCATGACAATGGCGCTAGAAAAATAAGCCACTGCATTCCAGGATTTTGAGAAATTTGAGGTGAGCACTTTAGCAGCTACAGAAAGCGGTGAGTCAGTTTCCAGAGGGCCCTCTCCTCTGTACTTGAAAGGCAAGGAAATGTGCTCGGAGTGGCGAGAAGCCTGGAAAGCGTACCAGGCTCCTGGGCATTCTCAATGCGGGTCTTCCACACTCACGCTGTCACCATCTTCACAGTACTATTCTCACACCGCTAACAAGGGGGAAATTGTAGTCACAAGAAAAAGGATCGGATCACTTTATAAAAAATCTGTTTGAAATGTGGCTTCTATAAAACCTTCAGGAATTCCTGGTAGACAAGGAAGCTGTTTTATTTAAGGAAACAAAAGATTCCTCAATGGGCCGAGGAGGCTGGTGAGTCCTGTCCTTTACCATGGGCCTGAGTGACAGCTGTGCCCAGCTCCAGAAATATGGGGGTGATTCTCCCCGAAAAGACCACCACAGACACTATCACAACTTAGCTATGCTTGGATCACATGTGTCTCGGAAATCTAGGTTCCCCGAATGCACCTTAGTACCCCGTGGATTACTCAGGTGCGCTTGTGACTCCCAACACAGTCGGGAGCTCGGTCAGCCTTTAGAACATCTGCACAATTTCAGGAATGTCCAGCCGGGCTTCGAGGGCAGCTTCTGGAGAAAGGCCGTGGGAAAGGCTTGCAAAGCACAGCACCAGCCGTCACAAGCAGTGACACTTGGCTCTGTCCCTCTTCTGGGTATCTTCCCAGGAGGGTGAGAGACGTCGGATCACTGTGACACACACACACCCATGTTATACACGCACAACTTGTAATCTTGGAAGCTACATCTTGGAAGCAGCCCCTATGTCCACCCACACACCAGTGGATAAGGAAAATTGTGGTATTTACACAGTGCAATAATACCACTCTGCCATAGAGGATAAGCGTAGGTCGTGTGGGAAAACAGATGCACCTTGAGCTCATAATGAAAAAAATCAGACACACAAGGCTAAATATCACACGGTCTCTCTTGATGAGAAACTCAAAGTATAAATAAAAAATAAAAAGATAGCTAACAGGAAAAAGGATAAAAGATCTTCTGCAAGGAGAGGACCCAGAGGTGGAGGAAGAGGCCACCCCATGCCCTCCGCGGACACAGGCCTCACGCTGTCCTTCAGGCTGCCATCCAGCCCTGCGTTTGCCTCCCCCGACATTTCCTGACGAGCACCCTGCCATGGCTTCACACCCCCCCCCGTCACTCACTAACTGGTCACCACCATCGCTGCTGCCCCCACTCCATCCGGCAAAGGCGATTTATGACTTCGCAATCTTCACAGCCGACGGCCTCTCTTCAGGCTCCACCCTTCCCAGACCCGTGAGCACCTGGGTCTGGAGCCACACACTCTTCTGGGCCTGGCTCCCCAGAAAAGACTCTCCTCCTCCTCCGAGTCCTCGGCTCTCCTCCTCTCTCGCTCCTCCACCTCAGCCCACACCTTCAACACTCTGTACTCTTCACTCCCCTCATCTGAGCTTCCATGGCCACTTGGGCCCTAACTTCCTAGCTGTCCGCCTCTCCGGCCCTCTGTGAATGTCTTTCCAGTTGTTTTTGGACAAATGACTGCCCGAAGATTTCTCAATGCAGGCTCCTCCCCTCCTCTAAGCCAGCCACGCTCCTCTCCTGGGAAGGCACGAACGTCTGCCTCATGGTGCAGCCGTGACGGCGCCTCATCTCTTCCCCACAGGGTGCAAGGTCCCGGTGTACCACTTCCCGGGAATTCTTGGAGTTTCCTCCCGGCTCCTTCTCTGCCACCAGCCTCAGTCCAGCCTTTCATCGAAGTGTCACAGGGCCAAGGAGTGAGCCTCCCAAGCACCCTGGCCCAGCCTGAGGAAGAACCGTTCCCACACCCATGTTCCCACAGCGCTGACTCACTGTCCCACCACGAGCTTTAGAGGCAAAGGTGGTGCCCCTCGTCTCCACTGCCAGGTTGAGCCCAGTGCTTGGGTCGTGGGTGGATGCCCCATAAATCTGTGCTCTATGAACAGGCTAAGAGACCTGTTCCTGTTTGGGTGTTCACGTGGGGTGCCGTTTTGTTAACACAGCAGCGTATGAAGACACATGTCACATACCAAAGAACCGGAGCAGCCTCCAGGGCCACATCTGAAGTTGGATTTCACTCTGGTAGCTGTTAGACTTTAACAAAAGTAAACAGTTGGCGCCCTGTCAGTGTCAGCTCTACCTTCTCAAGACACTCCTTTGCCGAGCTCTGTTTTCTCTTTTTCATTTTTTTGGTTTTTTGAGACAGGGTCTCCCTATGTAGTTGAGACTGACCTGGAACTCACTATGTAGCCCAGGATGGTCTCGAACTCACAGCGATCCTCCTGCCTCAGCCTCCGAGTGCTGGGATTACCATGCCCGATTCCAAGCTTCACTTTCTACCACCCCTTCATTTGCCCTTGACTCACGTGCCCAAGTCCCTGATTCACATTTACCTCTTTCAAAAAGAGTCGAACTTAAAAATTTTAGTTTATCTCTTCTGATTAGTTCACCCTGCAGGGACAAATACCCAAGTCCATTACACTGGATGGCTTTTAGGTAAATTCTATTTTATCTCTTGAGAGTGATATTTATTTATTTATTTTGGGGGGGTATTGGGGATCAAACTCAGGTCCTTTTGCCTGCAAGGCAAGCACCAGAACCACTGAACTAAATCCCCAGCCCAAATGGTATTTATTTTTATTGTCTATCTAACCTGCCTGCCCATTAGAACTTTTAAAATCCAAAAAACACTAACATAGTATTTTGTACCTTAACATTCTCCAGGATATATTTGGTCTTACCTAACATCCTGAAAAGTAAATTCCGTATTTGAGCGCATCCCACTATTAACGTTTATTGTCTGTTCATCATTTGCCAAAACAAGGCCCGTGGAACGAGCCACGTTTAAGGGACGGAAGCCTCCACACGAGGAGCACCTCTGCCAGTCCTGAAGAGGCACCGTGTTCCTTCTGGTCTCTGGGAACACGGGGCCACCTGGGGCCCCCTCCGCAGGGTGCTCCCGGGCAGCAGAGGACTCACCTGGCGAGTTCTGGGGTGAGGACACTGGGGAGCCGCGCGGGGACTGACAGTAGCTGGGGTGGAGTAAGGCGTGTGGAGGCACATATGACATTATCTCCTCTTCAAACAAGCTGGGGAGACAGGAAGCAAAATACAAGCTGCAGTCAATGAGGTGTTTCTGTGACGGGCAGGAGGTGGACTCTTCATGAGACCTGTGCCAGTACAGGTCCCTCCGGTTGTCACTCCCAGGACCCTAACGTAAGGGCTTTCTTTTATCTATCGTCCTGTTGTTTTATGTGTTATGAATATTGTTCTTTCAGTTTATCACCTCTCATCCTTGTATGTGGTATCTTGCATCATATACATTTATTTTTTACCAAAAATTTGCCAAATTTAACCAATAAGAAATGAGACCTGAGAAAAGTACTTACTTTACATGACTGGAATTACTGAGTTACTTACATGGAATAATCAATAAAAACACAAGATCATTTAAAGTTCTTGTGTTTATAATAGTCATTTTAGAAAATAACTTTATAGGGGCTTGTTTTGGATTAAATAACATCCTAGATGTACATGTGGTTTGCTAACAATAAAGCACACTTGCACCAGGAGTGATTTTCCTTTTTGACAAATAGACAAACCCCAGAAATGGTTACTACACTTTACTCTGTACCCCACAAGAACACTAAGTTTAGAGTCACTGACTGAGATGGTTTAAATTTCAAAATGCTATAAAAATGAAGAACTGAAGATAAGACTAAAACACCCATAGTTTCAATAGCCATTAAATATTACTTTTAAACAGGCACATGTAACACATTATGTCATTGTGCGCTATTATTAAAACAGGAAGTACATCTGGTCACTCGAGTGAAAAGAAGGGTCTAGAGCTGCAAACACCATCTGTCTGTGGCAGTCACAGAGGAGCCACACATCAGTGGATTTCTCACGTGTCTTGTATGACCCGCCGAAGCCTAGTCCCCAGTAGGGGACAATGTGGCCTTGCTCTTCCTAGAAGAGCTCCAGGTATTTTTGAACTCAACCACATAACACAGAAATTCAAGCATAATGTGGTGTTTATGAAAATACAAATATTCTAAGGTCTACTGTAATAAAATATTTAAGAAAATCCACCTAAAGATAACAATAAGGAGAGCTGAAGGATAATCATGGGTATTGTTTTTTACTAATTTCAAAAGCAGAACTCATAGCTTGAATGAAACAAATTAAGATTTCTAGAATGAAAGAGCCATATCCTACCCAGAATTTTGTAACAAAACTTTGTCTGTTTTATCACCAGCCAGGCTCGGGTGCGAGTACCCTTGGCATCAGCAGGCCGCTGGGGAATGTGTGCGGCTCCCTCTGCCTAGAGGTACGGTTCAGAATCACGTGACAGATGGTGTGCAGAGAGTAAACGCGTCCCTTCCAGTTACACTTCAACTACACACTAAAGGGAAACTACATTTGGTAACTATCAAGTGGTAGTCAGAACACAGCAACTAAAATGGTAACCATGGAGTGGAGGACCGGAAATGGCCAGGTTGAGAACTCCATGAGAAACATGAGCGAGGCTGTCAGCACTCAAGGGTGAACCAAACAGAGCCTCACTGGCGCGGGGAGAAGTCCCCACAATTCCATGGCAACCACAGGGGTCAGTGTCCCCACCACTGGCAGAGCACAGAATTCTCTTACTCTGGCTTCCTACATTTGAGGGATAATATTAAAAATAAGAAAATCTTCTGAGAACATGAGTTTCCCTTCTACACAACTCTAAAATTTAAAACCAACCCCAATCTAACTATTTCAGAAAGAAAATACAACTGGTCAGTTTTATGAAGGGCTATCAAGTTGGCAGTGAGTACAGAGACTAAATTTCAACTTTCTGATCTGCTTGAATTCCCAAGCCTAAATTTTCAAAACCACAAAGTAAATAAATAATATCTTGAATCAGCAAAAAGAAACAAAGCTCATTTTGAGAAAAGAATTGAAAGAAAATACAAATGTGACCTCTTCCTGACACCAAGCGGGTAAGCTGTGAGCACCTGGTTCTGAGTGGGCATCCACCAGCATCTCCAAATGTCCCTCCTCACCACATCCTTCACAGCAGGGGACAGACGCAAAATGAAAGGAGGCTCAGTAAAGCAGCACCCTAGTCTTCCTTAAGTCTCTAGAGACAAAGGAGACGTTTTGAAGTTCCCAACATGGACATGTCGATTTCCAAAACACTCCATCGTAGCTGAGGATGGCGGGCTATCACCCCAGGTCCCAGAGTCACCTACCTCAGCAGCATCACGAGGTCTGCATCACTCGAGAGGCGCACCAATCCTGGGGTCCCTTCCGTTCTGATAAATTGGATCTTCTCCCTATTCAGACAAAGAAACAGCTAAGAATGTAGGCAATGGGCTTTTGGAAAGTAATGTGGTGGTCACACACGTGGCTCATGACAGCCCCTGCAGTTCTCGGGGTCTATGATGTGGCAACCACTCTGACACCCCAGGAATCCACAACCCAAGACTCAGTCCCTGCCTTCAAGGGGTCACTGGTGAGCATCCACACCCCAATTCCAGCATTGCGAGGGAGTAGATTACTTGATCATCTGTCATTTTGCTGTCTAAGTACTACGAGGGGCAGTAGTGCTGTCCAGGTCCACCCGGAGTTAAGGCCGGCTGTGAGCAGGAACCCAAGCAACAGTTTCAGGCTGCTCCCCTCTCCTTCTGAAAAGCAGGTTTCAACTGGGGATGTAACTCAGCAGTGCAGCGCCTTCCTCAAGCACGAGGCCCTGAGTTTGATTCCCAGGAATGAAAATCAATCAATAAATAGCAGGGTTCATCCCTTGCCCTCCAGAAAGGGCATGTAGAGGGATGTGATGTTTTCCTAAGGTTTTACCTTTAAGTTATGTGAGCCGAGCTTGTTCCTAATTGGAAGCATAGAGTATATATGCCTTATGACTTCAATATAAAAGCACATGGCTTTTTAAACAAGCGAGAAACAGAAGCACTCTTAGTTACACAGTGGTGGAACAGATCGCGTACACAGCTGTGCTTGTACACGTATTTACACATATGTATACCTGTCTCATACGTATATTAAACGTAGTGTTGTTATTGCTCCTACTATTTTATTATAGAATTAGTGATAACAGCAGGTTTTCTTGTGTCATTGAGTTACCGTTTTCAATTTCTCATATGATACACTTTTAATAAAAATTTTCCCAGTTGTTTTCCCTCAGTTACCATTTCTCTCATTTACACCATTGCAAAGCACACCGTATTCCTTTTCACAAGATGAGGAAAAAATAACAACATGAACTACAGTACAGAAGTCGCTACATTTGATGGAACAGATGTCAACACGATAGACAACTTCACTCTGAGTGCCAAGGTCAATCTATTCTGATCACTGTGCCTCCACGTGAAAATCAGCCTTTGCACCTTTATCTAGATTTAGCTCTTATCTACAGAGCATTTTGATTTTGTACTTGATTTTCATAAAGTTCCACTGCATTTCAGATTTCCTGATTCCAAGTTAGGAAATTGCTCACTGACTTGAAGGCAGTGAGACAGAAGGCAAGGTTTGCTTACTCAGATAACAAAATCCCTCACACACAGAAAGTGATTCGCTCTTAGCCATGCCAGTTATGAGGCAGGATACAGATTAGGTCCTCGCTTTCTTCCAGCTAGATCATTTGACTAATACGTTAGTACGTGAGGTATGGAATCTTCATGTTGGCCTCCTTTCTTTTCTATCCTTTACTGCCAGAGCTAATTAATATTCTTTAAAAGCATGACGAAGCAGTGAGTGGTGGACACGGGTGTGGAGGAACTAACAGGACCTTACTGGAACCTTCTCACAGCACCCAGGCCGAAACCGGAAGGACACTTTCCTCCAGTGAAGGATCATGTGTCTGAAGGCGTGTAATCTGCTGAATGATTTTTAATAATAAATATAAATACTGACTTTAAAAAGCTAAATTAGAAAAAAAAATTACCTCAGAGAAAAATGGACAATTATTTCACCAAGGTACTTGTATAAGGTTTAGTAACAGGTGTGTTATCTTGTAGAATCAAAAGCTATCTCCAACAAAGTTTATCTTCTTAGTTTATCCTCACAATGAAATCCGGCAAACAGAACAAAATAAAAAGTGAACAGTCTGAGCACTGTCCTAACTGCCTTAACTGGATAGAGATCTATGAATGTGTTGAAAATGCATGTTCCAGACTGTGGCCTCTAGCTTTCCTGTGAATAAGAAAAATGTCACAGCCCAACTGAGTCACAAGGATGATGGGGCCAGCAGAGGGAAGGGGAGGCCCGGAGGAACTGTGCCAGCTGGGAAACTTTCCGTCACTGCCGCTTCTCCCTGCCAGGCAGTGAAGCAGAAGACCTGATTCTCCAGGCTAGAATGAGCCAAAGGCACGCTGAGGCGAGTCTTCTACCACACCAGCTAATCTATCACAGCGACAGGCTACGGGCAGACCCTGGGACATGTAGTGTGGCGTACGTCACACCACAGAGTACTTTCTTATACTACTACTCACTCATTTTCCACAAGCATTTTCTGAGCAGCTCCTATGGGGAGGCGTGGTCCCACACACTGGGAACTCAATAGGGACTGAGACAAAATCACCAATCAAGGAGTTGGCCGCACGGTAGAAGAGAGAAAGTCAAAGGCAATTCCAGTATTCTGTGAAACTGGCCCGCCCACTGAACCGAACTGTCTAGACTGCCTTCTGACACCCAGCCTAGACTGTGTTTGTGCAGTCCTTTCATGTAGAGACAAGGACTTCACTTTACCAATGGTCCAGGAGCACATGAAGGCACAGGAAGAGAGAAGGCTGGTGTCTTGAAATCCTCAGAAATGTCACATCTCTTCTGAGAATGAAAAAGGAACTGCTCCCTGGTTATCAGATATTTGCCCAATATTCTACAGGCTAGTGTTTCTCAAACTGACATCCCTGTCTATGAGAAATCTGCAGGCAAGATCTTGAATCCCGCAAGGATTTTAAAATTTTGTTTTCATGCCATGATCAAAATGGCTGAAGTGACAGACATGTACTTTGCATGACATGGTTGTCACTCCTGACTGAACCCCGCCACGTGACTGGGGTTCAGGCGGCATTTACAGGGCTGTGGTCAAGCAACCCAGTGAGCAGGGAAGGACTTGGAGGGGCGGCAAGACAGCAAGGCTGCCTGCCCTGGGGCCGACAGGGCCTGTGTGCGGCACATCCACACTCTCGTGAGCGAGAAAGACAGTTTTCTTGGAGAAATATCAATTTGCATCATGAAAATGACCAAGGGGAGAGAAGTAATGTTAGCTGCCCCGGGCAGAAGTGAAAACAGAAGAGACAGACTTTAAAAGTCAAGTATGCACTTATGCCAAATATGCCGAAGTCTAAAGAGTCCGGCTTAGTCCAGGAACAAAAGTGCCGCAGTAGTTTGCAAATGGGAAGGTGGTGGCAGAAGCCACCCACCTGGCTGACTCCACGGTACAGTTCTTCAGCGCCATGCACTGGGGAACTCTACAAATAAACTGCGTAATAAAGCAAGGAATTGGTACCTGCAAATGTGGCTCTTGTTAAGAAGGGAAAGCGGTGACCTGTGACTGGGCCCTGGAAGAGGTGACAGACTACAAGAGGCAAAATAAAACAAACCAAATCAAACAGCAGTGAAACAAAAACCCAAAGGTGCCTTTTCCCTGACAATGGTCTCACCACTGGTAGTTCAGCTTCTGAAAAGCAAACTGACCTCACATTAAGTATTAATTCAGATACGATTAATTTTCTTAGTTTTTACTTAATTTGTGTATCATTTGGCTTATAGTTTATAAAAGTTGTAAGCATAAGAAATCTGCACACACACGAAAGTTGTTAAAAGTCGATGTGACGGGTTTGCAGGATTTCTTCTGCTTTCAGAATGGAAAAGAACAGCTTCAGCCCTCATGAGTTTCCATGAGTTCACTCAGGGTTTAGGACTGGCCATGAGTCTGAGAAAGGCTGTTAGAGATGTACCTGCCCGGGAGTGTCTGAAATTCCTGGAGTTTGTCTATCAAGCTGTCTGTGCTAGGGGATAGCGGCAGCGTGAGGAAAGTCTGTCTGGTCTTGAGGGCTGCGGGGAGGAGCCTAAGATCCTGCTGCAGCACTGTTTCCGAGGAAAAGCCCTTCCTCTTCCATGTCAGCCTCCAGCCCTATGCTGTACACACAGGGAGCAGAGAGCTTGGACAAAGACAAAGCAGGCACTTGACCCACGGATGCCCAAATAACCACTCTGCACCCTTGCATTCCGCTCCATGTTTGGAATAAACAATCTTGCTATCATATTATGCTGTGGTGGGAAGAAAAAAAAAGAGAACCAGAAAGCTGACGTCAAAGAGTTATGAAACCAGAATCCACTGAGGGAAGTGCAAAGACAGGTAAAGCAGCAGTCTTTATCTTTTTTCAGAGGCAATGTTTCAGTAAGAAAACCCACAACTGTTAAAACACAATGCTAAACTGCACCGCACAACACAGCATTAGGAAGTAGCTGCCAGCCTGCGCTGTCACTCAGGTCTACAATGTTCAGGCTGTATAAACACTTCCTCCCATTGCGGAGCCACCGCGGAAGGCCAAGGCGAGCAGATCACCCGAGGACAAGGGGCACAGTCTCAGGACTGCGGTTCCCACAGGAAATGCCCTCACCGAAACCAGCCAACTCGCCTGAATCTAAAGAAGGGACATGTGCTACATTCCGCACTGTGAGACCCTGCAGATCTGGTTCAGGGGCAGGTTACATACACTCGTTCCTAAAGCTGCTCAGGGAGTTTAGAGAAGTACCCTGACTTCCCCGGTGACGTAATGTCCAGGGAGGAGAAGCAGCACTGATCATCCATACGCCTCACCACAGCAGCGGGCACTGTCTGACTTCCACAGCTGGGCAGTGGGAAAGCTAACTCGTCTCGCCTTCCCATTATGTAGGTTAGATCTGGACACTCAGGTCCAGGTGGTCACGAGACTCCTAGGGATTCAGAGAAGTGACACGAATTCAGAGTAGAATTTGTTAGAGTATGAATTATCTCCAGGCTAAGAACTAAGAATGAATTCTCATTGCTTGCTTCCTCACCTTAAGCACAATCATAGAACGCAAACAAAATACTTAGCTCAGGGCCTGGTGTAAAGCCTCCAAATTTTAAACTATAGAGTATTTATTAAACGGGCCTCGCAACGACTTACTCTTTTTACAACAGACAGCACGATCTACTGAAAAGAGTCCAACTAGACTTCTAATGACCTAGTCCTTTTTCTGTGCCCGTGTTAACAAGCCATTCTAACTGCGCTGTCCGCCCATTCCACACATGTCTAGTGAATACTTCTGTGATATGTGGTAACTAAGA